CCCCACTTGTCATCGTAAAGGCCTCTAGTAGAGGCATGATGAGCTAACGTTATAGCTTTTGCTGCCCGAGCCGAATAGCCCTTTGCACTTACCGGGGTAATGCCTTCTTAAGACAAACCAACCGTGTAGACGAAATCTGTCTGGTGTTGGATGAGGCAATTTGCTGTGAGGGTGGATAAGTAGGTTGGACCACTGTGGGAGGGGTAGTGGATCGTTTTGTGCTAGCTTTCTGAGCTTGACGAACCACCCTCTCGCTGGCCACCAGGGCGCGACCAAAGTCAGAGCAAGTATTCTTGTCTCTTTGACCTTTTGTATTACCCTGGGAAGTAGAACTGGTGGCGGAAATGCATAAGCTTTTAGTCCTTCCAAAGGAATGCTGAATGCTGAATGCGTCCACCGCCCAAGCCTCCGGATCTGGTAACAGGGAGACATACGTCAAGAGTTGGTGATTTTGGCAAGTTGCAAACAGGTCGATGTTTGGTTGCCCGAACTTCCGAAGCAATAATTGGAATGCTTCAGTGTGAAGTTTCCACTCGGTGGGTGCTACCTGGCTGGGTGTGACAGAGCATCGGCCAGAATGTTTCGACATCCGGGAATGTGCTGAACTATGAACCGTAGTTGCAGACGATCCACTAGATGGAAAAACTTGAATGTCTGTTGAAGTAGAGAGTGGGAGTGTGTTGTTCCCTGATTGCGCAGACACTGCACCACAGTGCTGTTGTCTGTGGATATGGAGAGTTGGGCTGATTGTAGTTGATTCTGCCAATGGGATATGGCTAGAATAACGGCTTCCAACTCCAAATTGTTTATGTGCCACTTCCGATGAGCCCTTGAGCATAGCCCTAAGACTGTCTGGTCTTGTAGGTGATCACCCAACCCCTGAAGGGAGGCGTCTACGAATAGGTGTAGATTCGGGGACAACCCTGATAAAGAGACTCCTCCTAAGACATTCGACTCTATAGTCCACCAAAGGAGGTAGGGTCGCATGATGGCCTTGAGTGGATCCTGACTCCTGATGTAAGGGTTCAGGAATTGTTGTATTGGGCGTAATTGTAATCGGCCTCTGTTGGTTAGGTCCTGGGCTGAGGTGAGTAACCCTAACAACACTTGCCATTGGTGAAGTGTGCGTGATTGACAAAGAGCAGGTGACAGGAGGCATAAAATCTTGTGCCATCTGTCCCTCGTGACTGACAGGAGGTTCTGATCTGTTTAAAATAGTCCTCCTATGAACTGGAGTCGAAATGATGGAGTTAACTCCGACTTTGCCTCGTTGATTATCCAACCCAGTTGATATAGTAGCCTTCTGGTGAATTCTCGGTGGCATACTAACGTCGTTGTGTTTTGATGACACAGGAGACAGTCGTCTATGTACGACTCAAACCAAATGTTCCTCAGGTGTAGAAACGCAGTTATGGGCTTCATTATTCGTGTAAATAGCCACGGGGCCACTGAAATGCCAAATGGGAGTACTGCCCACTGGTAGTGGACCCCATTGAACTGGAACCTGAGGAATCTGCGATCGTTGGGATGGATCAGTATGTGCAGATATGCATCTTGTAGATCGTTACCGATCAAGGAATCGAACGCTTTTATGCTGGTTCTGAGTAGTCTCAATGTGATGAGGCGGAAATAGGGTGAACGCTTCAGATAACGCTCATTGGAGACAGAGAGATTGTGTATCATTCTCATCTTGTCTGAGCCGTTCTTGGGTACCAGGAAGATGTGAGAATAAAACCCGGGTGTTAACGCTGGGGTGTGTATAATCTCTACGGCTCTCTTTTCCACTAGTAAGTCTATGTTGGCCTTTAAAAGGATATGTTGCTTCCTTGGATAATTCCAAGGGAGGGGAGCCGTGGTCAACGGAGGAAAAAACCTCTATGTCTAGTTGGTAACCGTGGCGTAGAATGTTGAGAACATAATCGTCCCTGAGGATGCTCCAGTTCTTCCAAAATCGACTCAGTCTCCCGCCTACGGGGATATCGACAATTGGGACGACTGGGGGTAGGAGATCCCAGTTGTGACTGTCCAACATTTCAATGTTTGCCCCTCCTATCGCCTCCCTTACTGTGGTATTTACCACGTCGGGATTGATAAGAACCTTGAGGTTTCCCTCTGCCACGCCCTTTACCACGAAAAGAATCTTTCACCTGTCTTTCCTTAAGGGACTTACGTCTAGGCCTGTAATTGCCTGACTTGCCTGATCGCTGGGGAAAATTCTAAGAAACATGCTCCAAAGCCTTGAGCGCCGTTTCATCCTTGAACAGAGATGAGGAAGACCAAGGTTGACGTAGCAATCTGCGCTTAAACTCTGAGTCCCAAGTAGATAGGGCTAAATAACCCCGTCTCCGAGTGACAGTTATTTCCACCAACGCAGCTTTAAGATGATTCCTCATATGGTCAATCTGATGCTGTTGAAAATCAACTACAGTTTGGAAGTGATCTAGTCGGTAAGGATTATCCTCTGACAGAGCCTGCTCTACCGCATGAGTAGACAATGCTAATGCTGATAAAGGTTTAAATACCCTTCGAATTTCTGTTTCAATAAACGCAACTCTGGTATCCTGAACCTTAAGAGTGGTAGGCCTTGACGAACCTGCCATTCTCTGTATATCCTCATCCAAACTATGTGCCTGGTTTGCTGTCTCAAAGCCATGAATAGGAAATTCATCTTTCCTAAACCTGGGAGGCTTGAATGACGGCGTAAGTGTTAGCCTGGAGAAGTCCTCATCCAAAGATCTAATCATATCTGACATCATAGGGTCAATCGGAATCGACGTGGGATGTGTCCAAATAATATCTTTTTTATCCACCCCACTACCCGGGGAAGGTACTGAAATGAGGCGGTCAGCTACCCAATCAGGTACTTGAGCCAGGCTAAGATGAGTATTCCATTCAGTCGAGGAATCTCCCTCCTCACCATTAGAAAAATCTGATGAATCACAACGATGTTGATGTGTACGTCTAGATGGTGTACATCTAGATGGTGAACGACTTCTACTCCGATGTGCAGTATTACCTCTGACCGAGGGCTTAGATGAACTGCCTGGTGAGAAGGAATCATGAGTTGATGTCCAAGTACGAGCAGGTGTTCTGGTATACTCAACGAAGAATGTACTGTATTATGATTCACAATAGGAGTATTATATACATTAGTCACTGGAGTAGGTGGTAAAATATGTGCCGTAGATGTAATTGATGCAGGTGTCTGATACATAGGCATAGGCGTAGGTGCAGGATACAATTGTGTCATAGACTGCTGCCACATGGATTGTAGAAAATTTTGCATCCAATTAGTATTTGTAATTGGCATAGGCGCCTGCGCCTGCGCTGGATACGTTGGTACAGCGCTAAGCTGATCCTGCACTGCTTGCGTAATATCGTACGCTGATAGCCCTGGGGCTGATGTCATTGTAGATGCGCTTGTGTGGTAGGCCTTGGCTGCACTCGGCGCAGGCATATGAGGCGCAATGCTCAATGGTGTAGACTTGAGTCTGGCTTGGGTTGGCGCTACCCCCAACAACGCATCTTGAGGCGCTGGCGCACTGTGTGCAGAAGTAACAGACGTAGAATTCTCAAAAGACTGCAAATTAGGTCCAGTTATGATACGCCCAACATTCTCTGGGAGAGAGGATTCCGGCGGCATGTGCACCTCCGCAGTGACAGTAACGCCCGACCTATTATTCCTCAAAGATAAAGGTTGCGTCGTGATGATCGAATCCTGTCCCTCGCTCATTCGCGATAGACACATTTTCCTTTTCTCACGACGTGATTGCTGCAAAATACGTTTGTGAGTAACCTGCCTATACCTCACGAAACTTGTTGGAGAGAGGTTTACACGAAAAACACATTTAGAATTTGGTGCACAAATTTGCGTACACGCCAAACAATGTGGATGAGGATCTTTAATAGATTTTTTTCCACGACAATTAGTACAACGCGCAAGCATAAGTTCCGCAATAATATACTAGAAGAAAAGGGACTGGAATTTACTGCCGTAAATAATAATTTATTGTCAAAATTTTTGAACGTTGAAAGTGTATAAATGATTGGATATACGCAACTCAATTGACCGCCAAAGCTAGTAGTATTGAAAACAACATATGAAATATGTTAAACATACATAGCCAATAATTGTAAACAATTGACTACCTTTGCCAAGCAAACAATTGTAACACAATTCAAAATGGCGGGGAACAGATAGCATGTGGCGGGGAAAAAAGACAGTGTTTTTCCGCCTCAATACATCAACTTCACAACATGTTGAAAGTAATATGAAAAGAATACATCACCCATCGCAGATGAATTTAGAATGGTAGACGAATTTGAAGGTCTAAATAAATCCAAAACCGAGAGCTCTGCTGGAAACGTCCTAGCTGTGTTGCGACAGGCCGTGATGTGAAGAGTTGACCTTTGGTCACGTGGCGTCACGGGGACAGCGACGGCATGGTGCAAAAGTGGGATTGTGGAACAGAACCTTCACCCAAGGAGACCATTGCCGGTACGCTGTCCCGTTTTTTTGTTTTTTTAATCGCAAGGTAAGCAGTGAATGCATTAAGGAGTAATGCAGGATAAGTTAAAAATTTAGGTATGTATTGAACAGAATCATGTCAAAAGGACAGATTTAGAAATAATGTCAAGGACATAAGCAAATATGCAGTAAACTTAAAACCATAGAACTACCATAGACAGGTGTCTATGAACAGAGACTAGATTTAGTGAATGCTTGCTCATGTATTTCTGTATGTAGGATCACATCTTATTCATTGCAGATTGTAAAGTTTGTGACAAATATCTACAGAGATTGGTATACTTGCAGTGTTTGTAAAATCATCAAATATTGTGGACAGTGAGCTCATTTTTTATCCCTAATGTGTAAAATGGCCATGGTAGGATGGCAGTTATAGTATCAGAAACAGTGTTTCCTCAGTTGTCAAAGCATGACTAGGAAGAGTGTAGAGTGAAGGGACTAATGTGAAACCAGCGTGAAGGAGAGACTGTACCTTGTCTTCCACAGGTTCACCAAATGATGCAAGCAATGACTGGAACTGAGCAATTAGCACATTAACTCTTGTCTTCAACTCTGGAAGGCAATCTCGTATGTGGTGCATCAAAAGCTGAAAATACACAGCAACTAAGTAGGATGGAATAAGATAACATTCAAAACTACAACATTACATGACACCAGAAAGGTGGAAGTTCTAAAAGAATCAGGGAGTTGGTTCTGATGCTACTTTGAAAAGAATTTTCAACTATATCACATTTTCATGCACATGGAAGTGATACAAGTTCAAGACGAGTACAATTTTCAGATAAACCCACAAAACAAACAGAGGATTATAGAATTAGGGTTATTCTGTGATTGAAACCCACAAGATACGATACTAGTGGTGGGCCGATTCACATACAATGCGATTCAATTTGGATTATCGATTTTACATGTCTGATTCAATTCGATTCGATTGATTCATGATTTAACTACTTGGTAAGTTGGTATCACTTGTTTTACACAAAGTTTTTTCAAACATTTGAGTATTAATAAATATTTAATTAAAGAATGGTGCATCTTTTGTATTTCAGAATCATGTTAAATGTAAATAATAAAAAAACAACCAAACTGTTTTCTGTTTTATTTGGTGTTCAGTTTCAGCATAATGCAAGTGAATATCAACAGACAACTTAATGCCTAAAACACTCATTCAAAACTAACAAATTCGTGCGACCAACCAGCAAGCTTTCACACTCATAACACTTCAGGTATTACTAGGCAAAACAGCACTTATGACATGACTTCAGGTACTACTTAACTCTTTCAACACCAGTCAACCAGAAGCCTTTACTGCTGTGCAAGTTCCCAGAGACTCTTGTGTGATAGATGAAGCCAACATTTATCAAAGAAAATATCTGCTTGTGAAACATCTTTGCTCCTAGATCTATATATTATATATACACCAGTTGAAAGGTCTGATCATTTTGTTTATAAATATGAACGTTATGTTTATCACATTATTTAAATAATGCATTTACAACTTAATTAAGTTTGTTGTAAATAAAAACATGTAAGCTGACACATTCATAACGTTCACATTAAGGGCCAAGGAAGTGAAAATCCATTTACCTATTTCTTTTTTATTTTCATTGTTTACGTAATTGGAAAAGCATTTTAAAAAGAATTATCAATAGTATCTGTCATCACCTATTTCAGTAACATGAAGAAATACACATGTTTTCGAGGCTTCGTATGAATAACACGTTCGTCGAAGACTGGCATATGACACATCTCTAGAAAGCTTATTCTTTCATCAACACGCTTGTAACATCGCCTGGAGTCTTTTCGTAGTTATAAAAAATGATTTCATTGGATAAAAATTGGTTTCTAAAGACGCTTTCTGGCCGAAATCTGCTACAAGGTTTGTGATAAGTCAAATTTGAGCATGTGACCTAAGGCAGGCAATCCGTCCTCGTGTATGATGAATTTCAGATTTTGATAAAAGATTTCTGTTAAATTGTGCTATTCTGAACATTTTAAGCAGGAAATCGTGATCTAAATGAAAGATATGAGGCTTCATGGATGTATCGAGCGAGGTTACGAGATGTGACAAAGATTTTTCATGCATATATCATGGCATTAAATATCGTGTCCGAGCCGAGGAATTCGAGGTGACGAGAGCCGAGATGTCATTTGATTTACATTACACGCGATCGCACGAAAAGATGGAAATAATAACTTAGCTGTAAGTTTGACAACTTTTAGATATATTTTTGTTGATTTGATTTATTACTTTGTATACCATATTTAAAGTTTTGCTTGAAACAACTAAATTTTGCTCTTTGACATGTTCGATGTGAACCCGTTGTCGAAGTGTGTCTGAGAATTTTATTTTCAATAAAATTGCAGGAAATAGTGAATGATTTTTTAATCTATCGATCAAAAATGTTAAATTGAAATGGAATATGTAAACGGTAAAATACTAATATTAACATAGAAACATTTTAAGCATGTTAAACTTGATAAGCATGAATCGTTTTACCGAAATTACAAAAGATCAATGTATTCGGGGATCGATATATGATACTATGCTCAGTGAATTGCAGTTGAGGCCACTGGGCCACCATTCACACACAAACATTTGAAGTGGAAAGTGTCTACAACACTAACTGTCATGTTGACTGGAGCAATACTGAGCAAACATTTACAGAGACATTATCCATATTCAAGGTTGTGCAGAATATCATAAGAGGGAGATACTCACTCTGTTCAGTGTCTTCGCAAGGTAGGATGTTCCATTTCTATTGGCAATAGATGGATATTTCTTTTGTAGGAATATAGCTTCATCCTTTAATGCTTCTTGCAAATCCTGTAGGGTAATTTGATTTCATCAATATATACATTAATCAATTCTTAAACTGTGGAATAGTAACTATGAAACTTTGTTTCTGAGAACATGAAAACTATTTACTGACATAAAAAGAATACTACTCAATGCTTACTTCTGGTTCTGAACCACAAATATTAGTAGTAATTGGCTTTTGTACATGAATATCTAAAGAGAACAGGAGTAAGCTTGAAAAACGGTGGTGGCATGCGTCACCTTTTTCTTGTTGATATCTGCCTGACTTCTGTTGACCACTCCGATGATTCCTAACTTGACTGGGATGACCCGGCCACACAGCACATCCATGGCATCTGTGCCAGCATCCATCAGGTCCAGCTTTGTAATAACTGCCAAAGTTCTTCTTCCTGAAAACACACATACACAGCTTTATCTTCTTAAGATACGCTAGATACAGGGTTCATTTTCCTACTGCCAAATGCCCTTTATCAAGAAACAAAATGAGTAAAATGTAATTTTGTTTTACATTGGTATACTTATCATGCATTACTCCTTAATGCATTTACTGCTTACCTTATGACAAAGAAAGACAGCGCTTCATGATGGTCCTGGGTGAAGAAAAAGTGTTGTTTCCATCTCCTGAAGTTTTTCCAAAGTCATAGTGGGGAGGCAAGTCTGCGAGTCCTTATAATTAGCATAGGCCATCTTCCCGAGGAAAGGGAGTAAACTGACTATAAAAGTCAAGTTTCCACCCTTGCCAAACTAGGCTGATATTATGGAGTTACATTTCGGCTGGACTAATGAGTCTATGCATAGTCCAATCAAAATCGCGCAACAAAATCAAAATCCGGTTCGTAAACTGTCATGCAGATTTTGGTCAATTGCAGGATGTGCACCGCCAACTCGTTGTCAACAGATATTTTCCAAATCTTTTCATGTTTTTAATTAAGGTGCTCACAGGATTTGATGCACTTCGCGATGTAAGACCCATTTTATCACAATATAGATCTTGATTATCAATTAGATAGTCTTGACTTGGCGCTGCCATTTTGTTTGAAGCAAATGCAAGTGATACGAGAGGTGGAATCTGATTGATCCATAGGAGAGGCTTAGAAGGGACACAACTCGTAATAGCCACTGGTGACGCTACGATTGAGCCCAGGAATTCCAGCCTAGTTCGGCAAGGGTGGAAACTGGACTTTTAAAGTCAGTTAACTCTCTTGCCTCGGGAAGATGAGAATAGGCGTGGAATAGCTGTTTCTGCGTGTGATGCCTATACTTAGAACATAGTAATGCAGGATAAGTATACAAACGTAAAAAATATTTAGATTTTACAATATTATTTTACTTATCCTGCATTACTTCTTAACACATCTGTATCAGACAGTGTGGTGGGTATACATTCAGATGTAAAAAAAACCCTCAATAATTATAAACCCTTCAAACGACAAGTTGTCAAGGAAACTATGGTGATAAGCACAAAGTGCGGATGGTAGGGCTGGTTCAATCTTATTTACAGAAAGTACATGAGAATTGAGGATAAGTTCAAGTAAACAAACAGTAAAAAAGAATATTAGTGCAAGATAAAATATTTAAACAGTGTTACCAAGCCAAATGTGAAAATCTTGAGTCAAAAGGGCCAAAGCTACAGATGCCTTCAACACCTTCAAGGCCACATTTTGAAGATAATGGTTGGCGAAAACCGTGTCGGACATCCAAAAACATGATTTCTCTTATAGAACATTTGTTATGTAGAGCCATGGTTGCAGTGACTGCTCTGATCTCGTGACAATTGTTCGCTCTTGGCAGATCAAGATTAGCGATCTTGTAAGCCTGCAGGATGACGTAACCATTGAGATATGGTGTTGCGACTAACTTCGGTTGTTAACAGGAAGGAATAGCTGTTTCCGCATGCCACGCCTAGTCTTGGAGTGGCGGATTATAACTAATAGCGCACGTACAGGGCACAAGAGGAGTTCACCCTAATCTTCGACCCCCACAATTGTAGAGATTGGGTGGAATGGTGAAGGACCGGTCCTTCGCTTTGATATCCAAGCACAACCCGAGATGCTCAACCATGCTCAAAATAGATACAGGTGATGTCAAGTGCATGTAACTCGCTCATCTGTGTCGCAATGTGTAAAGCCAAGAGAAATATAGTTCTCTTGGTGAGGTCATAAAAGGATGATGTGCTGAGTGGATCGAAGCGGGGCCCACGCAATCGTCATGTACCACATTCAAATCTTAAGCAGGGGACGAAATTTGGCCTTTTGACCCTCAAGCCTGAAAGAGCGAAGAAGGGCCTGTAGTTACAGGACCTGAGTCATTTTGTGATTCCCCGGGATGGCAAACACTGAATTAAGTACAACCAAATATGCTGTAACGCTGTACACCGAATAGCCTCAAGCACATAACACCTTTTTAAGACAAACCAAGCATGCAGATGAGATTTGCCTGGTGTTGGGTGAGGTAGTTGGCTGTGAGGGTGGATGAGTAGGTTCAACCATTATGGGAGGGGTAGTGGATCGTCTTCTGCAAGGTTTTTGAGGTTGATGAACATATGCTTTTTTAGCCCTTCCCAAGGGGATGCTGAATGTGTCTACCGCCCAAGCATGTGGATCCTGAAGTTAAACATACGTCATAAGTTGGTGGTTCTCGTGAGTTGCAAACTCATCAATGTTGGATTGACCGAAGCGATGAAGCACCAGTTGGAACACCTCTGAATGGAGTTGCCACTTCGGGGGAGCCACCCTGTCTGCCCAGGATAGGGTCCCAGATGATCCACTAGATGAAAGAACCTGAACGTCTGTTGTGGGAGTGGGAGTGCATTGTCCCTTGATTCCAAAGACACCACAACCATGTGGTTTTGGTGGAGATTGCGAGTTTGGTGAACTGTAGCTGCTTCTGCCAATATGAGATGGCCAGAGTAAGCATTTCCAACTCATGGTTGTTGATGTGCCAAGTATGTTGTGTGACAGACCACAGCCCTGAGGCTCTCTGGCCCTGTGGGACCCCACCCCTTAAGGGAGGCATCAGTTGTATATTTTGGGTTAGCCCAGATAAGGAGATGCCTCCTAAGACTTTTGACTCTATCATCCATCAGTTGAGAAAAGTCCTTAGAGGGGATGGTAGCGTGATGGCTGTGTCTGATGTAAGGGGCCAGCATCATCCATCAGTTGAGAAAAGTCCTTAGAGGGGATGGTAGCGTGATGGCTGTGTCTGATGTAAGGGGCCAGAAACTGTTGTATTGAGCACAGATGAAAGCAACCTCTACTCGTCAAACCCTTGGCTGAAGTGAGTAGCCCAGGCAAAACTTGCCATTGGTGAAGTGTGCGTGACTGAGGATGGGCAGGTGACAGGTGGCATATGATCTTGAGCCATTTGTCCTTCGGTGCTCGCAAAGGTCCTTCTCTATCTGAAACAGGCCTCCTATGAACAGGAGCCGGTAAAATGGAGTTAACTCCATCTTCGCCTGGTTGAGTGTCCATCCCAATTGATATAGTAGACGCCTCGTGAAATCCGGATGGTGCAGCAGGGTGGATGTGTCCGGATGACTCAGGAGAGTATGACTCGAACCGGATTTTCCTCAATGTGTAGAAAGGCAGTTATTGGATTGAATATTTGTGTATATAGCCACAAGGCCACTGAAATGCAAAATGGCAGGACTGCCTAATGGTAGTGGACCCCATTTAACCCGAGGAACCTGCAGTCAGAGTGATGGATAGTGAAGTGTCCTATGGTAATCGATAAAATTGTAGATATTGTAAATTCATATTATTGTTATTAATTACACGAAAATAACATTCTTGTTTAATATGCTATTTTATTATATCATCATGTGTAAATATTTCATAACTATGGTATATTTCACTGTATATACATTAATATGTAATTGTAAATATTTATCATTTGGTAGGGCCTTCTTCAGATTTCGTTCTTTGTATGAAGTCGTCATTATGATTTAACAGTTCATTATCATTTCAGTTGATTGATAAGTACATGTATTTACCTCATTTATCGCTTAGTTCTTACCTTTATTTACCGTTCAGTTTTCTGTAGAATGTATCTTCTTTGCTGTGTTCCATTTCCTGGTTTCCAACAAGCCGCCATTTTACGTCACAGCCTGAGTTGATTTATAGTTTCGTATCTCGCATTTCTGTTATTCAGTTGCTTCAACTCGATTCATTATCATCTTCAATTAGATTAGCTTTATGCTTTGCTTTATTTATTGTACTTTCTTTTGCTTGAGTTCGTTGATGACGTCACTCATCAACATTGACAGTTGCAGACAGTTGCAGACTTGTTTTCATCATGATCAGACGCTGATTTTACACACTTCATTTTGGGTATGTTTATAGCTTTTAAGTTTGGCCAAGACTGAATTTATTCTATTGTAATAACCATTGTTCATCATAGCCCTAAGGCTGTCTGGCCTTGCACGTGAGCACCCTACCCCTGAAGGGATGCGTTTATGAGCAGGTGTCGACTCGGGAATAACCCGGACAAAGAGACTCCGTCCACCAACTAGGGTAAGGCCTTAGTTGAGACGAACGTTTCAGGAATTGTTGAGTTGGGCGCAGTTGTAAGCAGCCTGTGTTGGTTAGGTCCTGTGCCGAGATGAGTAACCATTGCAACACTTGCCATTGGCGAAGTGTGCGTGGTTGGTGTAGCGCAGGTGATAAGAGGCATAGGATTTTGTGCCATCTGTCCCTCCGTACTGATAGGAGATCCAGGTCTGTCTGAAACAGGCCTCCTATGAACTGGAGTCAAAAGGATGGAGTTAACTCTGACTTTGCCTCGTTGATTATCCATCCAAATTGATATAGTAGACTTGTGTTGACACAGGAGACAGTTGTCTATGTATGACTCGACCAAATGTTCCTCAGGTGTAGGTACACAGTTATTGGCTTCATTACTCATGTAAATAGCCACGGGCCACTGAAATGCCAAGTGTAGTGAACCCCATTTAACTGGAGGGATGGATAGGTATATGCAGGTAGGCATCCTGCAGGTCGAGACTGATCAAGGAATCGAATGCCTTGATGCTGGTTCTGAGCAGTCTCAAAGTGGTGAGGCGGAAGTAAGGTGGACGGTTCAGGTAACGGTCGTTGAACACAGAGAGATTGTGAGTCCTTCTGATTTACCAGGAAGAGAATAATAACCTGGTGTTAACGCTGGGGTGCGTACAATCCCTACAGCTCTCTTCTCTTTACCAACAGAATGTTTATGTTGGCTTTTAATAGCTGATGTTGCTTTCTTGGATAATTCCAAGGAGGTGGAGCTGTGGTCAACGGTGGAAGTACCTCTACGTCTAGATGGTAACAGTGTCAAAGTACATTGAGAACGTAATCGTCCTTAAGGATGCTCCAGTTCTTCCAAAACCGATTCAGTTTCCCGCCTACAGGGG